AAAAACAGTCGCTATTAGCAATGTAGCAAACAAAAACTACCAACTTAAATTTCACTTTTGTTCAACTTAAACGCATTATATTGCATAAGAGTCTTCTAGTGGCTACTTTATACTTTACACTATACTACCCATTTTCCCGTGGATGCTTTTCATGTGAAGGACATATTCTTGGAAAATCTCTGCTATCTCTCTCTACACATAAATTTGAAACTCTTCTTCACTATCCTTTTTCCACACATTGAAAGAAAAAGCCTTAGTTTTAGAAGAATTATCTGAATAAGATAGATAATTAAGGAGGAAATTAAATGGATTATTCTATAGTAGTACCACAATAATATAAAAAATACATTTCTGGAAAAAAATGGAAAAGATACAGCTAATTAATTTAATCAAAGCATTGATTCTAAGCTGTGAGAAATTGGCAGGGCAAATCTCCTTTGGCAAATCAGAAGAATGCATGTTCTCTCTGCCAAGGGAGAATTGCTCTGTCATTACTCAACAGCACATCTTTAGCTTTCACACTTCTGGATATGACAGAAGTCCTATATATAACATAGTAAAGCGCACCTCATTTAGCATATGCCATAGAAAAGGAGTAGGAAGAGCATATGCCAGCACAATTCCAGTGAAAGTTTCTTTCATGTTCGCGGTTTAACATCCCGATTCTCAACTCATCAATTATTTTCAAAGTCAAAGGATTTGTCTATATCAAAACTCTCTCTTTGCATATATCAGATGCCCTTTTGGCCTGGAATTCATTATAAACTATGAATATTTTTTCTTGTTGTGTATGCATGTTATGCTTCTGTAGTTTTTGTGTGCATGAAGTAGACCTTGTTACTACGATTCATGTATACTAGTCCCAGCAGAAAAGAAAATCAAGGTGAAGCTTCATACTAGAATTTAAGGTGGAAGGAATGTATATAGCTGTCATCAACTTCGAGTTAATTGTACAGCATGAATACACGAGAACGATAGAAATTGTAAAATACAATATGCCAATGCATGAAGTTAACATAAAAAATATAAATTTTAGTTAAATGAGAGATTCATATTATAAAAGTTAGCACTAATCAATAAAATATGATCTTTTGTTTAATTATTGTTGTATTTTTAAATGTGTGCTAGTTTAAAAATTCAACATGGAACTAGGAATATATGAAGCATCTATGAAACATAACAAAGGCACATTTCCAAAATGGACAACACAACTGTTTTTTAATATCTATGTTAATTTGTAACTTTACACGTTTTTCAACATGTACGTACGTAGTTAAAATTAATGTTTGAGATAGGAGTGTCGTAATATTTTAATTTTGGTTAACCTTAATTTTTAAGATTGAATTTAAGTAACTAATAATACTAAGTTTCTATTAAAAAAATATTATACTTTTATAATTTTAATGTAACAAATATATTTTTCAATAAAAATGTATGATTTTGAAGTGCTTAAATTCAACTTTAAAAATTAATCTTCACGAACTCTTTCAATTTTTATACTAATGAAAGTTAATAACAAAGTCTGCCACATTTGGAGGAGTGATAAGGAGGGAATGAGAAATACTACTAATACAGTGCATGTTCTCTTTAGAGACAGTTGACATTGCACTACATGTTCTCTTTACTTATCTAACTCTTTGCTTAAGGAGAAATGAACAGAATTCCAGCAGAAATATCTTGGACAAGCTGCAAGAATAGTAGAAGTGGAAGCCCTGAGACTAGAGTTAAAGTCACAGAATGGACCACTTTCTTTCTAGTAACATGCATGTTACCGAACAGAGGATGTGCTGGGAATATCCATTAGCTAGTGTTTACATGCATGTCACCTATACATATATACACATATTGGCCCTGAAATTGTTGAATGACAAAAATGGAAACAAGTCATGTGCGGGTGAACCATGCAATTAAGGTCATGAGGTATATAAGGAAACACTGCCAAAGGAGATTTGCCCAGCAATTCATACTCCTACATACACAACACATAACGATAAAGGTACAATGACTATTAAGGTCATGTTCATGAAGGCACAGCACATGCACTCCACCTCATGTTGTTCACATTAACGTGTGTACCAACGTGGCTACGTCCTACCAAGTCCAAACATTTGGGTCGAACCTCTGTTGCATGTACTCATTTAATTCCATCCTCTAATAAATACTACATCTCGATCTACTTCTACTGTTGCACTTCCATCGAATTTAAATAAATATTTTCTATTTTTTCTCGTTAAACTTCTCAAAAAAATTAAATATTCTGCATATTCTCCCTTCTTCTTCTTTTTTTTTTATTTTTTAAATTACAAGTATTTCTATTTAAGTTAAGCATGGTATAATACTTGAATTCATAATCACAACTTAAGTCCCAACTTTATTTTAGAATTTCTTAGATTTTCTTTATGGTACAGACAAATGAGAAGTTTTTGTACGCTTTACCATTTTGGAGTAGCCGTGTAAGATTGGTTAATCTACTCGTGTGTTTTCCGCGGTTTTAAATTTGGTCTTTGAAATAAATATTTTAATAATGAATTGTTTAAGAGTAGAAAACTTGTATTTGATGAATCTTTCAGCTGTTGACACATTCTGATAAAAATAATCGTTGAAGAGTTAAGTAATAGATATTACTAAAACAATATTAGTTTATATCAGATGAAAAAAGTGAACTGACATGAATTTCTTAATATAATTTTTTTAACTAAAAAGTTAAACACATAATATAAATATTATTAGTTTAGATTAATAATATAATATTTTATATTAATATTTAATATACTAATAGAGTTTTGCTATATTTCTTTTATATTTGTTCATAATAATCTTTCTACTATTATATAAAGTGAATTGTTTTTTTGTATATGAGAGAAATAAGAAAAACGAAAAACACAGAAATACAAATCAATCATGCATTTAAAAATATAAAAAGGTACGTGCTTTATTTATCTTAAAAATATAAATCATATTTAATAATTATGTATTAAATTATTTATTAAATATTAATTATATTTTTAAGATGATAGATGTATTTTCCTTCTTTATATTAATAGTTTAATTTTTATTAAATAACGACTACAGTAATAGATATTAATTCAAATAATTAATATATGATATATTTATAGTTGATAAAATCGTGTTGACGTCAATTTGGATTCGTTCAAAAGTTGAATGGGATTTTGGTCCCTATACACAATTTCATCAAATTAGAAATATAGTTAGACGACTCAATTTAATCTGACTTAGTAACTTCTAAAATCTTGATTACTGATTTTAATTATTTTAATTTGTCTTAAATCAAATTTTTAAGTATTTTATATCTGTCATGTAACAATTATATATTTGGCTCCATAAGTTATATATTATTTTCACTATTGATTTATAAATAAAGATTAGAATAAAATAGAAAGAGAGGATTGGGTAGAGTGATAGAGTCTAAGGATAATTGTTAAATTAGTGGAAATTTACATTAGTATGATATACTCGGTAATTTAGGTATCTCACAAAAGCGTTTATATATATCCTGAATAGATTATAAGAAAAAATACCTCCAAACTTATATTAATAGACATAAAATCAAAAGGCTTAAGCCTTAAATAGATTAACAATTATATAATTTAAAAATATTATAGTATAAATTTAGTATAATAATATTATATTTATTATAAACCAAATTATTATTTAAATAGGTTGAGCCCTAATAAGTTTAATTTTTTTAAAATCATTAAAAACTTGACTTTTTTTTTTCAACTAAATAACTTCTAAAAAAACTCCCAAAATAACCGAAGTACACCTTCTATAAATAAATTTGACTTAGGTCTAATATGAATTAAGCTATCCGATTTTCACCCTTATAAATTAATTTGACAAATTAAACTCAAATTTAATACTAGTGTTAGTGGTGACAAAATTTATATAAGGTAGGGAGAGAAGGTGGGCAACGATAAAAGAAAATAGAAAAAAAGAGTGGCACTGTTGTTAGTGTTTAATTTGTTCGCACATGATGTAACTAAAAGCCTAAAAGCGATAATATAATTTGGTAGCTGCACATTAGAGTATTATAACGTTGTGATTTCGTTAATCACGTGAAGCTTAATTTAACATCAATTCATAACTACCATGAAGTGAATCCTAATCTCATTCTTTAAAATATCTACTTATTTGGTCTTATTTTAGATGTAAATTAATATAACCATAGATTATTATATTATTAATTTTTTAATAATTACTTTTAAAAGCATACCTACTGTTATTTCTAATTAGTTGATAGTGTAAAATATTTTGCACATTAAAATTAAACTCTATTAATTATCATGATAAAATAAATTGATTTTAATACTTTTTTATATTCTAAAATGATACATTAGTTCGAAAAAAATAAAAAAAATCTAAAGTTACATATAATCTAAGTTTGCGGGAGAATGGGATTAAACAAAATTTCACAGAAAACAGAGAAATGTGAAGCAAATGAAATATCAGACATATTTTTAAATATCAAAACAAAATAACGTTTATAATTAACAAGCAATAGTTGATACATTTCATTAATAAGTTTTTAATCTAATAACTGTAAACTCTCTAGCACTGCTAGACACTAGAATTAAAAAATGCAGCTAATGCCGACCACAGTAGTATAAGCTTTCAATTTTGTGTAGTTAGGAAGCAACTATCAATTATTGCTATGCTACTGCTAGCACAATTAGTTTCTATATGAAAGCTTTGATGCAATCACCAAACCAACAAGAAAGAGGTGGAAACAAAAGAATGTCAACATCTAAGAGAACAGAAAAAGATTGGTAACAGTGGTTGACATCAACCAGTGGCCAACCTCATATCTGGCTTTATCTATTAGCTTTCATAATTCTTTGTATTTTGCCAAAAACAACCTTTGCTTTTGCATCTTCTTAAAGCCACCCCACTCCAAACAATCTCATTTTTGTCCAAAACAAAATACAAACAATAAACAACAAAATAATACACTTGTGAGGAAATGCCTCAAATCTAAAACGTGTAAATGATTGGTTCAACTATTCTAGTAATTTCAGGGTTCATGAGGGGCAATATAGTCATCCAAAGTGTATAATATATCTATCTTATCTACCATGCCTGCCTTGACAATTTACGTCGGCTTATACAATTCAAAAGCCTCAGTTGAATTTCCAAAGCCACCATTGATGATGAATGCTGAGGAAATCTTGAAGCTCTTTGATTCTTACTGGTTTGGGCATCAAAACTTGAAGGAACACCAAAGTTCCTCAACATCGGTATCAACAATTTCTCATGAAAATTCAGATCATCAAATGAAAGAAGAACCATCAGAACCAATGCTTTCACGCATCCAAAGCAGTCATAGCAGGTCCATGAGCGACCATTTGAGCTCCATGACATGCTTCAAGCATCATTGTCTTTCTCCAGACTCAGTTCTTTTCTCACCAAAGCTTCAAACCATTCTCTCAGGAAAAGATGTCACAGACACACAAGCACAGGTGCAGCATGAAGTGTTGCGTAAGAAGAACATCACAGGCAACGGAAGGAGGAAGAAAAGGCAAAGCAAGAGTTTGTCAGACCTTGAGTTTGAGGAACTAAAAGGGTTCATGGATCTTGGTTTTGTTTTCTCAGCGGAAGATAAAGACTCAACCTTGGCTTCAATCATTCCTGGCTTGCAAAGGTTGGGAAAGAGTGATGAGGAAGAAGAGGATTGTGATGAGTCTGCAATCCAAAGACCTTACCTCTCTGAAGCATGGAAGGTTCAAGAAAGTAGAAAGAAAGAGAACCCACTGATGAATTGGAAAATTCCTGCTCTCAACAATGAAATTGACATGAAAGATAGTCTTAAGTGGTGGGCTCACACTGTTGCATCCACCGTCAGATGATGAACTTCATCATTCAAGTTTTTCCTGTATTAAATATTTTGCTTATATCTTCGAAATTTTATTCTAATTTTTACATATTCATTTCCTAGCTACTCTTCTATATTTTGAACCTAATTCCTTCTCAATCTTCTGGAATTCCACATTGTAATTTAGACTAAAGGAGGGGAATGCCACTCAGTTTAGGTCATACACATTATCTGTTGTAGTAGGTCCATGTCCCTATCAAATTTGAACATTTCTACTTCAAATTTAAGGCCACAAAGCTTACACCGAAATAAATATCAGACTCCCAACCCGAAAGAGCTTACACAGAATTAAATGACCAAGTTTACCTTTTTCTTTTTTCTTAATCACTTTTGCTCCCTTTCATTAATGTGTAAAAAAATGAGAATATAAATAGTATCACTTTTTATATACAGGACAAAAAAATTTTGATAGTTATAGATGGTTAAAAATTAAGAGTTTTAAACCTTCGTTCTTTTATAGTATAACTGTATACATTCACTTTATTTAGTAACTGTTGTCGTAGAGAACTTGAAGCAGAAATCTAAAAAATGTATAATATTGGTCAGATCACAAATAGTATATACACTATTACAAGCTGATTGTTACAACCATAATGGGTAAATAGAATTGCCAATACTTATATGTTAGAATCCGGAAGTATCTCATTGTTTCTTGATCAGTAATTTATGAGTAACCAAGCACAAGGATATATAATTGTAATGCAATGCCGCTCAAAGACACTGCACAAGCGGTTGAGGGGATTCAATTGTTACTCTGGACATCAACTGAAAAAATCAACTCATTCATTTATTCTCCAACGTCTCTCTCTCAATCTCTGTAATTGTAACATTAGAAGTACTTTTTGGTCTCATATCAGAAGTTACCAATATGAAAATAAAATCCTTAATTATCATTGTTTTCTCCTATTTCATTTTTACCACCTTTCAACTTGTTTATTTTATTTGAATTTGCGAGCGTAGTTTTCCTTTGGTTGCATTTAACAGCACAGATGTCAAAAATTTAAAATAAAAACAGCCGTAAAAACAACGCTTCCAAGTACAAATTTCCTAGCTAGATATGTTGGGCCAAGCTTCTCAATAATGAATACAAAAAAGGTGGGCCTTATTTAGTTGTACAACAGTGGACAGATTTACTGTCAATTTCTGAGTTCTGACAACTTAACCACCCAGTCATGTACCATTAATTTTCTAGATAGAATTTTTCTTTTTCACCTAATAGAATGTTGCAGGTTGTTGCCAAGTAGTACTATTCTCCTGCATAATTTGTTTTAACATGCGCTCATGTAGCTATAAATCTACTAAAGAGTGTTAAGTACACTTTTTAAGATAATCTTTCAAATATGTTATTTATTATTGATTAAATTTTATTAAAACTATAAAAATATGAATGAAACTCGTTACATTAAAGTAATACTCACATAATTTTTATAATTTTAATAAATTTAGCAATAATACAAAGAGCGTTTGAAAGTGTAGAATGCTAACCTTTCTCATCTACCAAAATATCTAGACTCATCCATGTTTCTAACTGCTAATCTGAATAAACAAACCCTTAGAAAAATGATAAGTCAAAATAGTGGTTGTCAATTATCATAAGCACTTATCTAAAATAACCATCCATAGTGTGAAGTATCGAGGTTAGCATCCCATTTATCAATTTTATATAGATTACATGTAACCAAGAAAGTAAAGAGATCCTTATCAAACATTTTGGTATATATTTTGCAAATTGCCAGTGAGAACTTGCTCCTAAACCTGACAAAAAATTTGTTGAAGCCAAATCTTGCTAAACCGCAAATTACATATAAATTAAAAGAATAAAGCAATAATTTAGGTACGAGAACCAATCAACTTAAAGATTCCTATAATAAAACTACAAAAAAACCAGATGTCAGTTTGTCATGTGATAGTTACCTTCCATTCTTCCAGTAATACTGTAAAGTAAGTTGCACTTTTTTATATATTCAGAAATATCAAACTTGTTGATTGCTGCAATGTAAAACACCAAACATTGAAGGACTTCAGCAAGGATCAGCCGGTTGTTTCATTCAAACTAGTACATGCCATTATACAACACTGGTTCATAAAAAGTTTTTTTTTTTTTTTTTGGGGTTGGGGGGGGGGGGTGTTGTTACACAGACTAAATCCAAAGGGGGTTCTGGCACCTGCAAGGCAATCATGTAAACTGACTACCAGATTTTGTATCTCTTCTATTGACACTTTTCTCCATCATGTCAACCCAACTGGCCAAGACATTGGACACTTCAAACTTACCAACAAAATTCATCTTTCTGGCTAACTCCTCAAGGATAACAGGGTTCCCAGTTTTAGAAATTTCAGCAGCAAGCTTGTTGTAGTCAAGCTGAGGAGCTTTCATCCCCTTCTCCAACATTTCCTCTAAATATTTACATGCCTCACTGGACCTGCCCTGTCTTATAAGTCCACCAATGAATACAGTGTAGGAATTATCATCAGGACAGCACCCCTTCTGATGCATCTCATCCCAAATTGCATGACCCATTTCATGATTTTTTGTCACAAAATAGGATTTCATTATCATGTTGTAAGTGTGAATTGTTGGTTGGATGCCACTTTGAATCATCTTCTTGTATATTCTCATTGCATCATCAGGCATGTGTTGGCTTGCCATCAGTTTTATCAAAGCATTGTAGGTCCTCCCATCAGGTGGACAACCTCTTTCCCTCATGTCCTTCAGTAAATCATATACCATATCCATTTTCTTCTGCCTCCCAAATCCAGCAATCAAACACGTGTAAAGTGCAGCATCAGGTTGACATCCACGATCTACCATTTCACTAAAATATTCTACAGCTTCTCTCATCATCTTTTGTTTGCAAAAATCCTGTATAATAATTGTATAACTCCGAACATTGGGCAAGGGACCTTTGGCTTTCATGATTTCAAATAATTTGATCGCATCAGACTTCCTCTGACACTTTAACAACCCTTCAAGCATGATATTATGTGCAACAACATCTGGCTTAAATCCCTTATCAACCATTTCATTCCACACCCTCCCTGCTTCCAGCAAGTTTTTAACCCTGCACCAACCATTAAGAAGTATGGTGTAAGTTTGCAAATTCTTTGTAAATCTATCTTTCAGTTTTTCAAAAACAGCTTGCGCTTCTTTACCAAGTTTTGCAGCACCAAGACTATCAAGCAAGAAGTTAATAGCATCAGCATCCACTTTAAACTTGTACTTCTTCATCAGATCAAAGATCCCAACAGCTTTTTTTCTTTCCTTCGCCAAAGCAAAGGCTTTGATAGCAATGGAGAAAGTTTCCATTGTCAAAAGGCCCTTCTCACCCATTTCCTCAAGCATAGCTACCATGGTCTCAAATTGCCTAGTCTTCCCAAGAATCTGCATCATGCAGTTATAAGTCCTGGAATCATGGGCAAACCCAGGCCTGAGCCTAGCCCAACAAAAGAACCGAAATGCTGGCTTCCTAGCATGCCTGAATCGTTGCAACACATCCACAACCAAATCATGCGATAACTGAACCGCACACTCATCAAGAACAGCCTCCATGTTCCTATCCAAAGCAAACAATTCACCAATCACCTTGCATACCCTATCAACCTCAGCAGGATCTGCACATGATTCAGCACTAACACCTCCACTATCACCATCCCAATCCCCACCACCATCATCCTCAATCCCAGATTCAACCCCAGAATCACTAACACTAGCAAATTCCCTAGGACTATCTAAAAACGGAAACTTTCCTAGAAAAGTAGAAAAGGGCAATGAAGAAATCAGCAATTCTTTTTGTAGAGCAAGGAGTGAAGAGGGGTGTGGCAAAAGAAATGGAATTTGACAACGAGAATGATAGAAAGCGCAATTACGAGAAGAATGAAGCAAACGAGACAAGGACAGAGAGCTACCACGAGGTAAGCGCACTTGCTCTCCTCTTCTTTGCGTTCCATTGGGTCGTCCCTGATTGAGAGAGCGAAGCTCGGTGGTGGAGAAGACACAGTAGGAGCCATTTTGGAGTGGCGAATCTGAGTGCCCACGCAAGAACAACGTTAAAAATCGAACGTTGGAGGTGGTTCTGGTTCTGTGCCACTGAGAGAGAATCATTGAAGTGCCATTTACATTTTCAGATAGTAGAGTAAGAAAAGAACGACAGTAGACAGTGGACTTCGGTGTTTGTGTGGCTATGAAGTAAAAGCAAGGTTGGTTGGGGGAGGGTGATGGGTTAACCCTTGATGGGCCGTTGGGCCACTGGAACTGCCGTGGGGGCCTGGTTCCTTTTACTGTTTGTCCTACTACACCCAAAAAATAATCATAAATAAATAAAAGGCAACTAAATACCCCTTTTTTTATATTTTTGGAAGTGGAAACAGATCCTATGCAGCATATTATTCCTTAAAAATACACTACTATGATATTAAATTTTATTACATAATATATTTTAATACATTTGAATGGTTATGATAAAAATTGCACTCTTCGCACTTAATTTATATTTGAGAGAATCTGGATATGTTTGGAAATAAAGTTATATCATTTTATTAATTTTTATAATAATTTTTAAAAATTATATTAAATAAAATTAAATATATTTAACAATTTAAAGACATAAAAGCATTTTAATATTTATAAATAGTGGGATTAAATCAAGGAAATAAAGATGCCCCCTCAAGTTTTTAACAAATCATATTTACATTTTAAATTTTGTATATGATATAGAGGAGGAAATATGATATTTTATAAGAAATATTAGTCTACAAGATACATTATTTTTATTTTATTTCATTTTGATGTATGTACTATATACACATGGACACTCTTATGTCTTATCTTACCTCAGAAGGGAAAAGAGACACGATGCTACAGGGAAGGAGAAGGGATGAAAAGGACCTTGATTAAATGAAGACACCAAGTACAACTGTAAGTAACGCCTAAATGTTTGTCTTGTGGTGAACTGAAACATTGGTCCTAGTTTGCATCCTCGTTGTTAAAGGTGATAACGTTGGAGCCAAGGATTGTTGGGATTATGCAGGTGTCCTTATTTGCTTTTATTTATTGTTTTAATTGCCTTGTAGAGCAAGTTTAAGCTATGAATTGGATATAAATCATTTCTTAATTTAGCCATACAATCAAAACATGACAACTTTGCATATGATTATCAGATGGGCACCATTTCATGACTGCGAAGGGATGATAACATTTAACATACGGATTTAAATTATTTATGCCATTCTCAACTTATTTAATTTAAAATTATCACTTTTAACGAAAATATTTTTTTTTAAATGATACCACTTTTCTTTTAAATTTTTAATTTTCTTACTGAAGTGTTGTTTTAAATTTGAGGGACGAAAAATAAGTTACGATAACGTTATATAATATTTTTTTATTAATCTTTCTAATATATAATAAATATATTTAATATTATAAAAAAGTTTAATTCTTCTTTAATTTATAGGTATAAAATTTTGTAAGAAAATGCAATAGGGTAAGAAAATTTAGAATTATATTCATAATAAAATAGAACAAGTGTTTTGGTTTTTTAACATAATTAAAACAGTTCAATAAGCTCCACAATGACAAAAAGGCATAAGCTGTGTCATTTGTAAAAGCTTTGTGTCGATATCAACAACACGGCCGGTAAAGGTGACATTCTAATATAACATAAATAATGTTTTGTCCATGCCCCTTTGACATGTTCTATTTGTTGAGTTCTGAGAGGGTGAAGATGCTTGCTTTCTAATGTGAACTTATAAACCATCATCCAGTGAAACTCGAAGGGTTGGGTAATTAAGCGCTGGAATAGTTAAGCAAAAATGGGAGCAGTGAGTGATGGAATTCGCAGCAGAAAGAAGTCATCATCAAGAGGGCACCACAGGTTTGTAGGGGTTCGTCAAAGGCCATCAGGGAGATGGGTTGCAGAGATCAAAGACTCGTTACAAAAGGTTAGGCTTTGGCTAGGAACCTTTGACACTGCTGAGGATGCAGCTCGTGCATATGACAATGCTGCTAGAGCTTTGAGAGGTGCTAATGCTAGAACCAACTTTGAGTTACCTGAGTCTGGAACCTCTGGTGTTGGTGTTGCTACTAAGCGTGGTGGTGTTGGTGGTTCCAACTTCATGCTTGATAACACTGAACCCTTTTCTTTTGAGGATGTTAATGAGTCAGGTGCAGATGCTGAAGGCCTTCTTGGTGCACTTAAGGCCAAACTTTTTGATGGAAAAGAAGGGAAGTTTCACTTTCCATCATATCTTGCTAATTGTGCTGCGCCGGTTGTTCCATCTGGTGTGGTTTCAAGAACAACTCAGAACTGTTCTGGGAAGAAAGAGTTATCATCATCATCATCATCAGTAGCTAATGTTTCTCTCACTGGGGTGAATGGAGCAGCAAACAACACTCTGGCTGGTTTGATGGGTACTTTAACTTCATCAAACACTTGTGCTAAAAGTGTGCTTGTCCCTAATCATGATCATGAAGGTGCGGGAGTCAACTCTCATCAACTTTGTCAAACCCCTACTTTGACAAGCATGACATGGTCCAATGAAATGGCATATGAATTGTCTTGGCCTACCCAGATGAGCCAAGTTACTGATAATAGTCTGCTTGCATCAGCCAGTGCAGCCACCTTGACATGGCCACTTTCTGGGGTAATTGACTCCTCTGTTGACGATATCACATGCACTGATATAGGGGCACCAAATAGCAACAAAAGTGGCCAAATGAATATGGTAAGCATGCAGATGCAGGTACCTCTTGTTGGTGGAGCAAATGAAGGCCTTTGGACATTGGAGCAGCATCAATTTGTGCAATGTGAGAACAGTTGGTTTAGTTCTAATGGCTCTTGGGATCCTCTCCTCTTTGTGCCCTCTGAGCTAGCTTGATTAGTGTTAATATTGCCAGTGAAAGAAATCTTAATTAATTTGTCAATTCTTAATCTTGATCTACTGATTATTCTTTTAGTTTTATATGATACAAGACCCTCTTTGTATGCTCAAAGATTTACCAAATTTCTTCTGTGAGGGAAGTATAATGTTGTGTTTGTTCCTGACCTTAAAACATATAACCATAATTTTCGTCATTTTAATCTGTAAGGTATTGTTTTGTTCTCTATAATAATAATTCCCTAAATTTGTCTCTATTTCAGAGAATAATATTAATTCTTATTAAGTCTCTAACAGAAGTTTTATTTTGTTCTCTTTTTTCATTGAATGATTCATTGACACCTGAAATAAACTAATCAAACCTTTAATCATTCTTTGGGGCTATGCCTACAGAAATTTTCTTTTCGTGACTTTGTCGTGCTTCCGCGAACATTTATCAACAACAGAAATAATAAAACACAATTAGCTGATATCATTCTATAATACAATGCCACTCATGGTCCTCAATATTAATTCTCTTCATTTTGATTCCAAATGGGAAAATCTGTCCTAGAAATATGGTACAGCTCTCACGATTTTCTTATTTTAACGATAGGTCACAGACTCACAATGTTTAGTAATACTTAAATTTAAAGAAATAATCAGTTTTTTAAGAAACTAATAAGAATAAATTGTTATTTCTTCATAATAAGTTAAATGAAACACATAATTAGAGTTTGTTTGGATAATAACTTAAGCACTTATTCAGAGTTCTTTTAAACGATGACACCTATATTATAAATTTATCGCTGAAACATTTTGAAATGAAATGAAAAAAACTTATTTTACAAAATTATACCAAAAAATTGTCGTAATAAGCTAAAAACAAATTATGAAACTCATAACTTATTTTCTATCAATTATTCATGAAATCTTACTAATATGGCCTGATATAATCTAATATAAATTTAAGGAATAGCAAACTATCATTCCAGGAGATGCCCTGATGCCATGCTTTACTATTTATTCCAATGCAGTATATCCTGGTTAAAGGAAAATTTCCTGTCCAACAATTCATTGATTCCACCAGCTCCTTTGGAAATTCTCTTATTTGAGACTAAAAAATTCAAAATGATTTACGGGTCAAGCTTTATTCTTTTCATTTCCAAACATGTATCATCTTTTGGTTGGCTAAGATATGACAAGGTTCAAAGGGGAATAGAAAGTACTTAAAATAATGTAATGGTGGGTATTTTTTTATTTTTTTTGTTTATTTGTATGACTCTAGGACAGGGGCTCGACAAAATCTACAAGAGGCACAATCTATGGCGAATGAACAAGGCTTTGTACATGTTAACACTCCTTTTTTGCTTTTTGCTTTTATTAATCTATTTTGTAATGAGAATCCAAGTAACACCCTGCCCTGGAAGGAAAGCAAATGCTAATAAAGTTTTAGCTTAGATCTTATAAATGAACGGCCCTCTTTTATTCTACCAATCTCCTAATATTCAGAAGGAAATCAAGGAATCATGGAAATGTATTAAATGGAAAATGCTGCAGAAAAGCTAAAGGAAGGAACCTCACTAAGAAAATGATTAAGCCATGGCACAGTTGACATCTTAATTCATGTTATCCTATGCTTGAGTTCTAAAATACAAAATGCTATAGAATTTGTGTCAATTCCAGTCAATCCATCATAGAGGGCATCCTGTCCACCAAGTCATGTAGGCCATGGCAAGTTCAGGCACCAAGATAATATTGTTTAAATAATTTGCAGGGTCTGAGAATATATGATCTCTTCTCATGAAGATGTGAGGAAAATAAATAGCCTCTCCAACATCTTTTCTCCTGCAAATTCCCTTTGAAAACATAAAGTATTGGCAATGGTGGATTGTGATCTTTAACAAAAATAATTGTTTTATATTTGTCAATAAATACTTCAAAGATATTTATCTTTATGACAATTTCTTTTATAATTACTTAACTAAAAATTTCTATAAATTAATTAAACTAAAGAGAGCGTTTTCATATTGATTCTTAGAAGTTTGCTATATTACCCTTTAAAATGTTCCATGTTTTCTCTGGAATCTTATACTATGAAGGTCACCAAAAATGTGTAATTAAGGGTCAAAATATGTCAAACCATTCAGTATGAGCTGGTGGCCTAATTCACTTGAGGCCTATGTAAGCTAAATTATTTACTAAAAAGTCAGGTCAAGATTATTTAAAATTTATTTGATTTAAAAAAGTTTTTTTAAGCTAATCAATTTTTTAAACCTATTAAATTAGTCTAATACTTCTTTAAATAAGTCTTGAATTCTATGTTTGTATATTAAAAAATCTTTATAAGAAAAACTTTACTACAGTATGAACATTACATATAAAAGAAATTTAATTCATGATAAATTTTTACTTATTAGAGATGAAAACCATCTTTATCAAGAAATTAGGTAAAAATTGTTTCCAAAATCTCTTAACAATTCAATATTTGAGTTTTATATATATGAGAAGAATCTATACCAGTGTTTAAAAACTCTTATATCCAATCTGAACTTTTTATTTAACTTAAATCTAATGGTCAGTAAAATAATAAATTATAATTCATCAGATTGGATATAAGAGTTTTTAGACTTATACTTGTACAAGAATATATATATATATATATATATATATATATATATATATATATATATATATAAAAGAATCCAATTCGTAAGACAAGCCACCTGAAGAATTTGATCTTCAACTTCATTGATCCTTAATTTCCATGCCTTAAATGTTTCCCCTGTTTCGCACACTATATTCTCTTGGCTTTTAAAGTGATTAACTAAATCTAAGATTTGACAACTTGTTCTGGCTTCATACTTTAGAGATGGGGCTGATGGCTGCTCATCCTATTTCAAAAAAATTAAGAAGTATTAGATGCCATGCAAATGAGAGATGCTTGGCACCAATTTCAGAAGGTTCTCAATTGCCCAGTGGTGGAAAAGAAGAGGGACAGCATGAAGACCATTACCTACTTCTTGGTTAGATGAAATATGTAAATGCAAAACTCGTGGCGTAAAGCAGAGTCATAGATTATATGAATCAGCCTAAAATTTTTTGTACTAGCTCTAAAAACGATTCTGGAATAATCTCCATATATTGAACTCTAAACAAAATCAGTCAAAAGAAAACAAAAGGAAGAGCATAAATATTAATCTATTGTCAAAATTGGTTGCTTAAAGTGTAGGATGTGACTGCAGAATTTAATCTTGCTTTCTTACCACTTATTCTGGAATTGTTTTTAAAATAAATAACACATAGCTCTCTGTTTCATTGGAACCATAACTTTTTCTGTCTAATAAAAACACAAGGAAGGGAAAGCCTCAAACTGCCCCATCAAGAGCTGTGGAGTAGAATTGCATTGCTTAAATGAAGACTTGTGATGAATGGAAACCTTTTATAGCAATGATAGCAATTGATTTTTCTTTTGCGGCAGTGAATATTCTTCTCAAGCAAGTCCTTGAAGAAGGAATGAACCATTTGGTTTTTATCACATACCGGTTGTCAATTGCTACCATTTTCGTAGCCCCAATCGGCTACTTTTGGGAAAGGTAGGTACCCTCAGTTCCCCGATTTAGTAGTTATCTTTAATTTTTTTTAAGGGTGAAGTTTTTTATATTGTTTACATGCAGATAGGTCTAATTGCAATAATGAATGATTTTGAACTCGCTGCTTGAACCACAATTTGTTTGTGTTGGTCTGAACTCTGAAGATTGTTAAGCTAATAATTTGTCATTACTTTTGATCTTTGAGACTAATGCTTGAATAAATCCATGTATACTTGAAAGGAAATTAGATGTCTAAATAAGTATGATCATATATTTTTATTGGTTCAATTAACCTTTAAGCACCTATGAATAGTTTCTTTTTTAAAAAAAGTTTATTACTTTTAGTTGTTTATTTTCTAACATTTTCCATTTTCCCTATTTTTATTGCAGAAATGGGAGACCCCGGCTCACATTTCGAATTTTATGTTACCTCTTCCTCAGTGCCATTGTTGGGTTAGTCATAGAAATACCTTGTTTGTATTGTCTTTCCATTTCTCACAAGCACTTTTTTTTCTTAGCATGCACTTCCCAGTTATCTGTTTTGTGGTTAACAAGATGGCAGGGAAACACTGATTGAATAGTATTTTCTTTGTAGGGCATCAGTCACTCAATACTTTTTCCTTCTCGGAATCCAATATACTTCTGCTACCTTTGCTTGTGCTTTCATCAACATGGTGCCTGTGGTCACATTCATGATAGCATTACCATTTGGGTATGAATTATATTCAAAGCTATGTTACTCCTATATTATTTGTAGTAAGCCACCATCACTTGATGCAGGGTAACCATATCCTTTGATCCTTTCCTATTGATTCGACAACAGGTTGGAAAGTGTTAATATCAAATGTAACAGTGGGAGAGCAAAGATTCTTGGTTCTCTGGTGTGCATAGGCGGTGCATTGTTGCTGACACTTTACAAAGGAACGCCACTGTTTAATTTTTCTCAGCATGAATCTGCAGTGAAGCTGGCTTCTACAGGGACAAAAGAGAGATGGACTACTGGTGTAATAGCATTGGTTTTGGGAACCCTCTTTTGGTCTTCTTGGTTTATTTTACAATCGAAAATAAGCAAGAGATATCCATGCCAGTATTCTAGCACAGGCATCATGACCTTCTTTGGAGCCATTCAATCAGCTGTTATTTGCTTGTTCACTAACCGTAATTTGTCCATATGGGTTATCAAGGGGAAGTTACAAATAATTGCTATTCTGTATGCTGTAAGTTCACTTTTTAAAGGCATGATAGAGCTTTGCCTCAAAGTATATACACCTCAAAGCAGAAAATATTTTTTCTCATATATACTAATAAAAAAGGATATTTTATAGCTAGTAAAAGTAAAGATTTTTTTAATGGAAACAATTTTATGACTAGGTTAACAAAGTGAAAAATTTTGGGTGGAATATTTCTATTTCTATAATATTTTTGTCTCAATGCATTTTTCTCTTTCTGTATCTCTCTTGATTGTAAATATTATTGGGGAAAATTGATGTAAAAATAACGTTACTCTTTTGCTTACAGGGGATAATCGGATCAGGTTTCTGTTTTGTGGGCATGTCATGGTGTGTCAAGAAGAGGGGTCCTGTTTTTACTGCAGCATTCAGCCCTCTTGTTCAAATCATGGCAGCCATGATTGATATCCCTGTCTTGCATGAGCAGCTCCATCTTGGAAGGTGAATTCTTCTGCCCACACACACACACTAAAAAGGCTCCTTGATTCTTCTACCACTGATATGATAGAAACCAATTAAAGTAATTTACCATTCGAGATGACAATCATTCACTTGTACAAGATTATAGTGTGATTTATTTTTTTACTGTAGTGTGATGGGATCAATCTTGGTGATTATGGGATTATACATTCTTCTGTGGGGTAAGAGCAAGGAGATGCATGACAGTGTGATCAAGTTAGTCCAAGAAGCAGAAGAAACCAAGGAACAAGAGCCGCAGCCGCAAATACTGTTGAGAGTGTCTTGTGATTCGCGCTTTCACTGACACCAGCTGAAAGTTTTATGTTAGCATTTACTTACAATACATCAGAAAATGTATTTGTGAAATGAGAAGGAAAACCAAAATAAGGAGAGAATTGTTAAGTCAGAAAGTCAAGATGTTATGTTATACTTAAGATTTATCCCCTATACTTTGTTTACAATTTCTAAAACAACATCTACGTTTAATGCCTTGATTTGTGTTGCCTTTATGTTTTAGAATTTGCATAAAAATGTTATTCAACAAATATAAAATAAGACACGCCCGATGACGTTTCATCTCCAAATTCAAAATTTTTATGTATTTATTTAGTTAATTGGTGGTTTTACGTAGTAAATTAGATTTCTTTAACGTAGATCTAAACGTTGATAATTTTGTATCAATCATATAATTTTTAAGATTTGGTTAATTTCAACTTAAGAATTAAGTTTAAGTATTCACAAATAAAAATTTTTAATTATATAATTTTTAAGATTTAGTTAACTTCAGCTTTAAAGGGTGAGTGTTAGGATTTTCTATCAAACAATAATTGTACCTAACTACATGTTATGTAACACTTTATTTTTATATTCTATTTTTACAACAATTTTAAAAATAATAAGGAAAAAGAATAAAAGAATCTTGAAAATATTTTTAAATGCGAAATAATTTAAAAATAACTCAATTTAAAAATACAAAGTATCATTATAAAAAGCTTTTATAAATAATATTTTTAATACTTTTGCTAAAGACTCAAGTAATAAATACTATTACAAATTATTACTCAAAATGAATGTTATAGAACTTCTAATCAATACATATTCCAAACACAGCTAAGTCCTATAACAGTTCTACATCCATTACAGCTTACAGAATTGGGTACTGATCGTCCTTATTTCTTGAAAATATTATATAAGGGTGAATCTCTATCCTACCATACATACATCACATAGAATCATCTTGACACATAACACATATTTTCTTACGATAGAACACTTATCATTTTATCATAAATCTCTACATCCTATCACAGTTTCTCACATGTTGCAACGTATATATATAATATAACAACTTTTATCATAAAAATTTATATCACAAATTTCATCACATGTACACTCACTACACATTTAATTCATACACGTGCGCTCACTGCACGTCTAGCCACGCTCACTGTGACACTGTGATCAACGTTTCATTGATACCCCAACCTCAGGATTTACACAGTTTCAATCATGTAAATAGTTGCCGGTTGGGCCCCACATCACAGATACAACGTGTGCAATCACGACTCCTTTAGCAAAGGTAACGGTCAGAAGTCAAGTCAGGAAAAGTGTGTATGGTCGTACGGTGCACTCACGCTCATTGTTGATGTCATCGCCACCCATCTTTTCCCCAAGATGTTTCACATCACTCTCATCTTTCACACCTTTAGTGTATTTCTGTAACTATTCATAACTCAACTATTTTCAATCACAATCACAATTACATATGTCATACCACATTTTTCACATATATTTCTCATCATATTTATATCAACCATGACATATTTATACTTTCTTTCATCGTTTCAATAACATATCTCAATATTATTACAACAAAACTCATTATATTCTCATTAACTATAGCAAATCAGACATATATCTTGTTCTCATCTTTTATTTTCATTAAATTTATCACAATAATCATAACAAGATCTAATAACACATATTCCACTGATTAAAAGTATTTTTCACCATTTATTTTCATGGAAACAACACAACATCATCAACTATATTAAATATAAGCATATTTCACTGATTAAAATCATGTTTTACCGATTAAAATCTCATCAAATCAACAAGTATTTCATATACAACCTCAAATATACCCAAATCTATAAGAATACACCTAGATCTACTAGAATACAACCAGATCTACCACAAAACAAGTAGTTCACATAGGAAAATTATAAAGTAGAGCTCTCATTACCTCAAAACAGAGCTTTTACAAAGATTTAACCGAAGATTTAACTTCAGAACGGAGTTTTTCCTAAGAATATTATGAACATCTATAAGAAAAAGAAGAGGAGAAATGAACAGTAAATCTAACTTCAAACTTAGAGAAACTTACTTAAAATCTTTTAGAACGGACGTAAAATCACAAATCTGAAGAAAAATCTAAGTTTATGAGGGTTTACTATGAGAGAAAATGGTGAGATATAGCCTTGGAACCTTTGAGAACCTTAGATAGGAGTGAAGAAATGAAAATTTTGTGTGAAGGCCCTTTTTTTATAAAAAAATTTTGTTCACTACCGGAAACATTGTTCACCGCCTTACTGTTCATATCGAAAATATTGTTTGCGGCACTATTTACGCCAAAAATAATATGCACACGTACTGTACACGTACTATATACGTATGTGACGTCAGGGTGACATTACTGATGATGTCATCTCTTTTTTTTAATATAAATTTCATCTAAATCTATTCCAATTATACTTTAATAAATCTTATTTTATTTAAATCAAAGTGTAGGATGTTACATGTTACTACCCATATAGAATCAAAATTACAGCACAATCATATATTAATCTTTATGAACTCATATCCTAATTCATGATGAAAATAGAATGCGGAAGCATACCTAAATTCGCCATTAGAAATGATGAAGGTTATGAGATTGACAGCGGGTATGTGATCTTCCAAATGTGAAGTACCTTAAGTTTTCTTTTGGGTTTCTCTTATGATGGGGATAAAGAAAAAAAGAATTGAAATTATATGTTCTGTAACCTGCTTTACAAATGGAGACCATAGCCCATTTATGTAATTTCTGTCAGTTACATTCAAAATTTTAATATTTCCAATTTGGCCCCTTTATGTCCTTAACCATAAACTTAATATTAAATAGACCACTTTATAATTTTTGGCTAATTAGATAATGGCCCTAACACATTTAAACATAACATATGTGACCCAAAAAATACCATCAATGATTATTGATATTAACACAACCAAATAACACAGATTCATCATGAACAATGTAGCAAGAAAATCATATGAAGGTGGCCTATACATGTCAAATTTCAACTGGTCCTACCTTACCTTAGTGAGATCATTCAACAACCTTATTATACAAAGTATAATAATTGAATATCAAACTTTATATCTCATCAGAAAAATATCCAAATACAAGAGTATGCATACATAATACCAAATATAGAACATAAAATACATAAATGACTAACTCCCACTAAACTAAAGATTCTTCAAACTGTAAAACATCCATGCGAGCAGTGTGCTCATGAAAGACCTTGGGTGGAAGACCCTTCGTAAGAGGATCTGCTATCATGGAGTTTGTCCCTATGTGTTCTATGGAAATCTAATCCACTTTGTACCCTTTCCTTAACAACTAAGAACTTAATGTCAATGTGTTTTGACTTGGTCGAATCCTATTATTGCTGGAATATAAGACAGTTGATTTGTTGTCACATTATAACTTAAGTGGTCTTTCAATTCCTTCCATAATTCGCAACCAAGTGACAAAGTCTCTCAGCCAAATCCCATGATTAAATGCCTCATAACATGCTACAAATTCTGCTACCATGGTAGATGAAGCAGTAAGAGTTTGCTTGGCACTGCACCAAGAAACTGCACCACCAGCCAACAGATAAATATAACCTGAAGTGGATCTCAAACTATTTCGGCATCCAGCAAAATCAGAGTCAGAATATTCAATGATCTCCAACTGGTCTGACATCTTATATGTGAGCATGTAATCCTTTATTCTCTTTAAATACCTAATAACTACCTAATATCCCAACTACGTATGCTATATCCGAACGCGTACATACTTGGGCATACATCAGACTCCCTACAGCTGATGCATAGGGAATCTTTTGCATTTCTTGAATTTCTAAGTTTCCTTTTGGGCACTGATTGAAACTAAATTTGTCTCCCTTAGCAACTGGAGTATCCCCGGATTTACATTCTTGCATGCCAAACCTTTTAAATACCTTTTCGGTCTAGCTCTTTTGTGACAATCCTAGGATACCCCAAGATTGATCTTGGTGTATCTGAATTCCTAATACAAAGGAGGTGTTGCCAAGGTCTTTCATTTCAAAGTTTCTTGATAGAAATCTCTTGGTTTCTTGCAACATGCCTATATCATTAGTGACAAGCAGTATGTCATCAACATATAAGACTAGGAAAATATGCTTACTCCAACTGAATTTGTGATACATACAATCATCAACAAGATTCATCTCAAAATCAAATGAGAGAATTACTTGATAAAATTTGTAGTATCATTGACGAGACACCTGTTTTAGCCCGTAAATAGATTTTGTCAGTTTGCAAACCATATTCTTTGGGTCTCCTGACAAAAACTTGTCTGGTTGCACCATATAAATTGTCTCATCAATGTTGCCATTGAGAAATGCCGTCTTGACATCTATTTGATGAAGCTCCAAATCATAATGTGCAACAAGAGTCATGATTGTCCTAAAAGAGTCTTTCAATGAAACTGGAGAGAAAATCTTTTTAAAGTCAATCCCTTCCTTTTGGGTATAGCCCTTTGCTACAAGATGAGCCTTATACCTCTCCATATTACCTTTAGAATCTTGTTTGGTCTTAAATATCCATTTGCAACTAATGGGTTTCACACCTTCTAGTAATGAGATAAGTTCCCAAACCTTGTTGTCTTGCATGGACTTATACTTCTCATTCATTGCTTCAATCCACTTTTCTGAGTTGGAATCTTGCATGGCTTAACGAAATTAGACTGCGTCATCTTCCATCATACCATTGTTTTTCTCATATTCCTAGAGAAATATTATGTAATCATCTGGAATAACACTTCAACTTTCTCTATTGGACCTCTACAAAGGTACTAGCTCATGATGCACAAGTTCTTAAAGATCTTGAGTTTGTTCTTCATGAACAACCAAATTATCTTGAGTGGGGGATTCAATAACAATGTCTTGTAGAGGTTCTGAACTTGCATCAAAAGCGACTATATGAATCGATTCTGGAATTGTTACTGATTGTTCC